CCATGGGCCTGTAATTTCACCACACCCTTACCCTTCAAAACCGGAATGTAGTTAATGCTCACCTTACTGTTTGGCGGCAGTACTTCCCTGGACGAACACTTTCACAACCTCAACTTCTACTGACTACTATCAACTTTCAGTAAATGACTGCAGATCGAACCACTATGCTCAAAGTCATATATTTCAAAATATTCACACTTAATTAATGCATATAAGACGTAAGTTAGTCACCACACCACCTATTGCACAAAAAATATGATTAGAATATACACGCTAAGCCAAAATATTTTGAAATTAATACACGTGCCGTTATTATTGCCTTTGCAATATATTCGACGAAGATTGTCTTACACTTAAATCCTAGGCAAATAACAAGATGAAGTAAAACGCATCGTCGTGTCATATCAATGTCAAAATAATAGTGGTGATGTCAAATTTTGAAAAAAAAATTTTGTACCTATATCGTATTGCGTAACTATTGTAATATTAGTACTAAGATTTGCTGGCACAGCTTGCCCAGCACGGTCGTTTCAGACCAGTTGCGGCATGGCTCCTACGGAGTAAAAGTCGACGCGTTAGCGACAATGTGCTGTTTTTCACTATACCGCATAGTACTGGCGATTTAATAAAAAAGCGGTTTTCATACGTCTTCGCGTTCGACACACAATTCTCCATTCACACGTTGCTCATAGAGGTCTGAGGGTCAATTTATATATATCTTTCGTGAGATTCGATTATACGAAAGCTATTTACTATGAACATCCACACTGTTTCCGTCTACTGTGATTTTTTTCTAACGCACGAGACGTACCTCCTGGGCTTATTTTTAAGTATTATCTTTATACACAACTTCAATTGTCATTATTTCTTCTTTCCTATTCCTTCATTAACATCGCTACTGAGAAAACATTACAATTTTTAATTAAACTGTTAATATAATTGTTTAAAAACTGTGTTGGTATATCATTTTTATTCATTAATAGCATGAAAGTCCTTCCACCCGAAACTCTGCCTTCAAGTTAATCCTATAAGTACAGTAAATTAAATATATACAAATAAATAGGTGCAGTAAAGTAGTAAGTAAATTAAATATAGATATACTGGATGCCTATAAAACCCCAGTAGTAGGTTAATTATTTCGTTGTATTAGTTAGCTAATAGCGTAATAGGATAATACCAGATAATGATTTTCACAGGCACAATAAGTATACGGTGTCGTCCTTGAGTTCGTAAGTTATTAATATATTATACAATACTGCCCTCGTAGCATGACTACGCATGATAGTCGCGACAAAATTGAAATAAGCGCGCGCTATTGGCTATCTAAATTATATATGATTGAGACAGCCAATAGCGCGCTCTTATTTCAATTTTATCGCGCGTGTCGCGACTCTCGTGCGAAGCCATGCTACGGCGGCTGGAATATTTATTACACGATACCATTGACTTACAAATAAATGGACGACGGGTCTAATACAAAAACCACGAAAAAAATTGTCCCAAGTCAACCTATTTAAACGTAGTGACATGTAAAGGAATATGAAAAAGCTAAAACGTTGAATTTAAATTGTAATGTCATCGCAGTACTGTCTTATTTTTCTTGCTTCGCTGTCAGTCGAACAAACGAAGACTAAAGCGTGAATGACGCTCTGTATACGATTTTAACGCCCTATAAGTTCGGACACTTTTTAGCGCGGACCCGACGTCCATATAATTGTAAGTCAATGCACGATACTTAAAAATTGGTCCTGGTTATAAAATATTGGAATGTAACATGAAATAAAATAACAATACTTATATGTATATATACAAGGAATGTATTGGCGAAAAGCCTAAGAAATGGTAATAAAGCATAGGAAATATTTCCAGAATTGTTATATAATGTTACAAAACAAATGTGTGTGTGTGTGTGTGTGTGTGTGCGCGTGTGCGTGTGCGTGTGCGTGAGCGTTTGCGTTTGCGTTTGCGTGTGCGTGTGCGTGTGCGTGTGCGTGTGCGTGTGCGTGTGCGTGTGTGAGTGAGAGTGTGTGTGAGTGAGAGTGTGTGTGAGTGAGAGTATGTGTGAGTGAGAGTGTGTGAGTGTGTGTGCGTGTGTGTGTGTGTGTGTGTGTGTGTGTGTGAGTGTATGAGTGTGTGAGTGTGTGAGAGTGTGTGAGTGTGTGAGTGTTTGAGTGTTTGAGTGCGTGCGTGTGTGCGTGTGTGCGTGTGTGCGTGTGTGCGTGTGTGTGTGTGTGTGTGTGTGTGTGTGTGTGTGTGTGTGTGTGTG